TTCCTCACGATGTTTTCCTTCACCGCCGAGCACGTGGTAAATCAGCACTTAAAATTGCAATTAACAATTTCATTGGTGCCGGCGGGGATCGAACCCGGGTTGCTCGAGTACTGTGAAGCTTACATCGAGCGCTAACCATCTGAGCTACCACGGCTCAGGCTTCAGTTTTAAGATAGGGATAATAACATCGATGATGACATCGATGTTGGCATCGATAGCTCAACATCGATGTTCGATGTTTAGGCTACTCAAAACATCGATGTTGACCATTATCGATGGTTTTTGTATATGTGTAGATATAACGATGCGTTCAGGAATTCTGAATTATTCAAAATTTTTAATCTTCAGAGCAGATTCAAGATTTAGTTGATATTGATTTCGCGAGTTCGCATTGTTTGCAAGTTCCCAATTATCAATTATGGGTTCATTGACGTCGATGTTTCGATGTTTGACATATGTCAACATCGATGTTAAAACATCGAAGTTTTAATTTTTAACGTCGATGACCATCTAACATCCCTATTTTAAGTGTGTTTTCCACTCAGCGTGTGTTATGCGACGATCGTAAATAAAGCGCAAGGTCAAACTTTACGCGTTGCAGGAGTGGACCTCAGTACTGATTGTTTTGCACATGGCCAACTCTATGTTGCTTTTTCCGGCGTTAGTAGTCCCCGTAACCTTTTTCTGTACGCCCCGGCTAAGTCTACTTCTATCATCGTTTACACAGAAGCTCTTTCATAAACGACTTAGAACTTTGAGCATATCGATTTATTTTGTTACCACTTATTTATACAGTAATGATATAAATCGTTTAATATTCTCTTAACCTAAACGTCAAATTCATTAAGTAAAACTTATGTACGCGAGCTACGCCGCGGGCACAGCTAGTCTCTAAATATATAACACTACTATTATATGATCTTTTATCATAAAGCTCGTATAACCTTCGCCTACTTTTATAAATTTCTACTGTCGCCCATTCATTAAATGATTTGCGATGATGATGTAGCATCCAGTAACACCAACACACCATCGACATCTGGCTTCCATGTGATCCAAGACGATATAATGGACGGCGTGTCATCTTTAGCTTAAGTTTTCTTGTTACAAACTACTTTATATTTTACGACAGAAATAAAAAACAATGCTCAAGTAAACATTATCCATTTTTAATTCCAACCTCTTCCAAAGTTCTAAGTAGCTAGTAAAGTACCTATTATAATTCTGCAATAAAACAATTAATTACTATAATATTATAAAACAATAGCCTAGTACCATGTAGTACTTTAGAACGCTACTGTAACCATGCGCAGACACACTCCCTCCACTATCTCTCAACGTTATTTTTACGTGACGTGAGCTGTAACAACTTATTTAGTAGTACTCATAATGGGTGCCCTGTGCTACAAATTATTAACTTCCTTCTGCGTAGCATTGAAAGGAAGTTAATGGTTTTAGCTGGCAGTCTGTTAGTCTGTATGCCGACACGATAACTTCCGTTCCACTGGACCGATTGACTTTAAATTTGGTATGTGGATACCTTGAGGTAGTAGCTCGGTCGAGTTTGAATTTGGGTCCTGTAGGTCAAAGGGCACCAGAGATATGGGATTCACGCAGAAGGAAGTTGTTTTTCTTGAATTTACATTCAACTCGTTAGTTAAGAGTTGACACGGTAACCGTGTCAGTCATTGCCGCCAGCCGCACGCCGTCGATAACAATCGACTAACATGGATTGTTATCGAATTTTATCGACTAAACTGAACAATCGACTAATTCGATTAGTTTTAGTAATAACCGCCCATCGTTAGTATCCACTACCCCGTATCATCTCGTGGATGTCGTAAAAGGCGATAGAGGCGAACTGAATAAATAAAATAAAATAAACCTTTATTATTTTCTCCCACAAATTGTACATTGCATATTTTACTTTTTAAAATCATATATATTTTTTTATTAACAAAACAAAGAGTGCATAAATTTGTGGGAGACCAAACTAGGATACCCTGTGCTATGGATCTCCCGGCTCCCCATTTATGATGATCAACTAGAACTTTTTTCCGTTTTCGAGAGAGCATACGCGTAAGCGGTTTAGTCTTGTGTGTGTGTGTGTGTGTGTGTGTGTGTGTGTGTGTGTGTGTGTGTGTGTTTGTGTCTGTGTGTCTCTGTGTGTGTGTCTCTCTCTCTCTCTGTGTGTGTGTGTTAACTCGTACGTGGTATGTTAAGATGCGATTTGCAGTAATTGTTCTGTATTTTCATTATCAAGTTTAAGCAGCCAATCTGAAATTTTCTTTTTACATTCAAATTTTGTTAGGTTAATGATACGGTGTAATTTGTTTGCTTTGTTATATAATCGACTACCTCTAAAACTGAAAAAGTTTTGAGCAAAAAATGTTTTTACTGGAATAATTTCACAAACTTCATAATCTCTCCTCGTACTAGGAACTCTGTTCCTTATATTAACCAACAAATCAATACAACTATGTTTTTTTTTAAGATTATTGATAATATGTAAATTTTTCGAACAGTTAACACATTGGCTTCTGCATACAAGTTCGTAGTCGGATACATCCTAGGTTTTTTCAAGGCAATTTTTAAAATCATCCTTTGTACCTTTTCAACTTCCATCGTTAATGTTTTACTAGAGCCTCCCCATACAGAAATGCCATAGGACAGGACAGGATAGATTTACCTAACGATTCATATACAGTTTTAATTAAATTCCAATTTGCGATATGTCTTAAGTTTTTAAATATGTAGATAAGCTTTCTAAGTTTTTGAACTAAATAGTTTATATGTTCTTTGAAGCTTACATTCTTGTCTATTATTATGCCGAGATACTTTATGTTATTTGTATTTTCAATATAAGGACATTTATCAATACGAGATGGGCAGCTGTATCTTTCTGACAACAACTCAAAATGATCAAAAATTGTGGTTGACCACCCGCTTGCCAAGCATAAATAACTGTGGTAAATTCCGTGAGACAATCTATATATATATATGTACAGGCCTATTTTCAGCACTGGACTTTTGATAGGCTGTTGTGAATGGATGAATGATGTCCACTCGAATAAATTACCGACCGAGCTCAATTTCATATAGGGCGTGTAATTTTTTTTTATAGGATAAGGGTGACAAACGAGCACACAGTCCACCTGATGGTAAGTGGTTGCTGCGGCCCATAGACATCTACATCTATCCTCTATTACAAATCAATATGTAGATGCGTTGTCACCCGTGAGGACTAAGATGGAATGCCTCATTTCCAGTAAAAAGGGCCTCCGGCCACCTGCACTCACCAAGCGAAACACAGAGGTAAACCTCTACTTCACGCTGGTTTTCTTTGAGGTCGTGGTACCACCCCTGTTCGAGCCGGCCCATCCGTGCGACAGCTAAAGCTGCCGCGTGGCTCTACCACTTGAAAATTTGTAATGCATACGAAATAAAATAATGACGTGTCTCAAAGTAAACATGTATTATATTACATACTACAACACACCACGAAACGCCATGCTAAAATTACATTATTGCGTAATGACCTGTCCTTCCGAAGAACGAGGCCACCATCTTATTTCCCACGCTTCGACCTCTCTTTACTTTAGTTATCAACTCCTCGGAAGGAAAAACCCAGACAGCAGACTGTCTCTTAGTTTCAGGATCATAAAAATAAAGCCAGCTTTCGTCACACGTAAGTATGTCGAACACACCATCTGAATCACCTCCGTTAAAGCTTTGAACCATTTCACGATACCAATCAATACGACGGAGTTTTTTAGCCTGTGTCAAATTATGAGGTATCCACCGGGCACAAAGTTTCCTGACCGCTAAATGTTCATAGAGGATTTTGTGCACTTGAATCATACCGATGCCTAAGATTGTCCGAATCTGCTGATAAGTCACTTTTGTCAGTCTCTATCATACGCAGCACAAAAAATAATGTTATCTTCAGTCGTCGCCGTAGAAGGCCGTCACTCACGCAGATCATCGGTGAAACTAGTACTTAAACTCATTAAACCAGATGTAAACATGGCACGAGATGGGGCTTCATCGTTAAAGGCCAATCGAAGTCTATCATATCTTTCTTGTTGACTTAAATGACATAGAGACAGAGAGTCTCTTAGAGATAAATTTAAAGAAATTAATATATTAACTTTGGCCTCTCAGTATATTTACGAAAATTTAATGTATGTTCACAAAAACAAAGATAGTTTTAGTAAAAAAAGTGATATACATTCTGTAAACACTAGGAACAAACTCAAGCTAGTGATGCCAGTTTCTCGACTCCACAGAGTCAGTAATTCATTCTTTGGGCAATGTATACGCTATTACAACAAGGTCCCGGAAAGTGTACAGGTTCTCTCTATTACCAAGTTTAAATGTTTTATTAAGCTGAAACTGTATAAAAAGGGTTATTATAGTATAAATGAATACATGGTTGATAATAACCTCTGGGAATGAGGTGGTCGCTTCGAAGCAGTTTCTAAAATAAATTTTGTAACTAGTTCGTAATCATTTATATTGTAAAATTTATTTTTAAAAAAAAGTCCCGCTGGGTTTCTTGCTGGTTCTTCCCAGGACAGAGGGTTTTTTCGAACCAGTGGTAAAGTAAAAAATGACTTTCAAAAAGAATTACACATGTAATCTATATTGAATAAAAAATATTCTATTATATTCTATTCTATTCATCGAAAGTCATAAAAAGTCATTGTATGAAAATTTTCTCGCGTTAAATTCATGCTGACGTGACACAGACAATTTTCAATTTGCCGCCAAATCGTAAACAAATTACAAATTAATAAAATACATACACAATAATATTGGCAAAGAGTTCCATTTTCAAAATTTGAACATATTTTTTTTATTATATCGTTTACAAGTGGTCAGTTTTAAAAACTTTCAGTGTCACTCTCGTATTATATCAAATTATTACATAATATATATGAGTATTATGTAAAATCTCGCACTGAATGTCCCACTTCAGTAAGGTGCTTATGTTGCAGAGGCAAGACGGACTACGGCATCATGATCTTCGCGGACAAGCGGTTCAGCCGCGCCGACAAGCGCACGCGTCTGCCGCGCTGGATCCAGGAGCACCTGCGCGACTCGCTGTGCAACCTCAGCACCGAGGAGGCTGTGCAGGTACCTACTGCCTTGCCGATCTAGTGGTCTCAAGTGCGACTGTTGATTGTGCATACACGGCATACCCGGTTACGAGTCAAAAATCAGTTCTACTTCTAACATTTCATTCTCAGTCAGAAGTTGGTGTTTCGGCCCCGTGGTGGTGGTTTGCAAAGCACGTAAATTCGTTAATCCTGCGCCTGGTCTCTCTCCGGTCGTGTGGGATTACCGTCCCGTTGGACTATGAGAGTGAGGGAATAAAGAGGACATCATGCTTGCGCATACACTTTAGCACTATAGTGTTGTCCTACGCATACACTTTAGCACTATAATGTTGTCCTACGCATACACTTTAGCAATTTAATGTTGTCCTACGCATACACTCCATCCTAGCCTGTTACCAATCTCATCGCAAAGGCATTACATTAGGCACCAGTAAATCACACGTTGCCACGTGATTTAGCAAAAGCACCCATCATTTCATTTCGTATCGTTTGTGTCTTAAGAGACGACTGACTAACAAGAAATGCCAAAATAGAAAGTAAAATAGTTATAAAAAACACACACGCCTGTCACGCTGAGGGGTAGACAGAGACTACGGACTTCCATATAGCACGATCCTACGCATACATGCTAGTCGGTTAAGGGTACTCTTAATCTGGCCCATCTTCATTAAATCGCAAATTTGGTCGATAAACTTTCGTCTGGGACGTCCCTCTACGACTCGGCCGTTCACTTCTGCAGCAAAGATTTGCTTTGTCACTTTTTTCCCGTTCATTCTTTCTACGTGACCAAACCACCGAAGCTTTCCTTACTTAATCCTGGTCACAACATCATCTTGCAACCCAAACTTTTCTCTTATCACACAATTTCTCATCTTGTCATTCAGCTTCAGCCCTAACATACTCCTTAATGACCGCATTTTTACAGAATTTATTAAACTTTCGCGCTTATTCTGCCACACACATCTTTCACTACCATACATTAAGGTAGGGACTAAAATTGTATTGTGAATTGCCATACGTGCCTATTTTGATACATTCAGACTTCCCACAATAGATTGTAGAGCCACATTTACTCTATTTACTGCGTTCACTCGTCGTTCTATATCCTTAATATATCCACCATCCCTACTAAATACACATTCCAAATACGCATACTCATCCACTTGCTCAACCAACTCCCATTCTATTCTTATTTCACATATCGTTTTACTTTCTTCTCTTTCAAAAACCATCACTTTCGTCATACTTGCGTTCACTTTCATTATCCTTTATTTCAATGACCTGTTCATTAATGTGACCATCATTTGTAACTCGGCCGCCCACGACGCAAATGTGACTTGAGCATTGGTTTACAAAAGGCATTAGACGTATTATTTATTCATTTATTTACATAAAATTGAAATAATAGGTCGGGGAAAAAGTTTATTCGTATTTAATATACAAATTCAAGACATTTTTTTTTTCAAAGTTTAATTATATTTAATTATAATACATATGTGCCATTTTATTCGATAACTTGTTGCCAGCTTGTAGGTAGTGATATAATCCCGTTGCTTTAGAAATCTTGGGATTTTGGATCAATAAAATGCGACAACACTTCCCAAAGAATTCTGAAGAAACTGAAACAGGTGGAAATCTAAGGTTGCATGGTCAGGACTATATGGTGGATGTATTAACACTTCCAAATCAAGCTCTCTCAATTTTCGCTGAGTGGGCAAAGATGTGTGTGGTCTGGCGTTATCATGATGAAATACCACTCCTTTTCTGTTGATCAATTCCGGCCGTTTCTCAATTTCTTGCTCGAGTCTCATTAGTTCTTGGTAGTACAGATCCGAATGGATGGTTTTGTCCGGCGGTAAAATCTCATAATAAACGATGCCCATCCCATATCACCTGGGTTGACCATGATCTTTTTCGCACGTTCTTGTCGTAGGTGATCAACTTTTCACCGCTACAACCATTTTTGAAAAGAGTGATTCTTTTCAAAAATGGTTCACTTTCATTACGATTCAATAGAGAATCGCATATGAGTACACGATTCATTAGGTTTCTTTCAGTGAGCTCGTGTGGTACCCAAATATCGAGCTCTTTTGTATAGCCAGACTTTTTCAAATGGGTTAAAACTGTTTTGTGGTCAATTCTCAATTCCTCGGCTATGTCGTAACTACTAATATGCTAATCTTGCTCCACTTTTTCAATAATGGTATCGACTTTATCCGTATGAGGGCGGCCAGAGCAAGCATCTTTGACATCAAAATTCCCGGACTGAAAACACTTGAACCAACTTTGTGCTACTCTTACTGACACTGCATTAGGTCCATAAACGTCGCAGTTTTTGCGGCTTGCGTAGCTTTTTTCCCTTTTTTTTTAAATAAAACTTCAGAATGTATCGAGTTTCTTTGTTAGATTACTCATTTTGACGGCAAAAAAAGTGTTTTTTACTTTTTTCTGACCTATTATATACCGGGTGTTTGAGAAACGCTCCCGGAAACGAAGACAGACGATAGTACTAAGGATACCTTTGATGATGGGTCACAAAGAAATTCGAACCCGAGAAAAAAAATCATCTTTTCACAAGGTTTTATTAACTTTATTCACGCTCCATCATGTTAGTACAGCTAAATGAAACGATAATTTCATTAAAAAAAAATCATGAAAAAACTAAACCAGCAGTGGAATTACAATCAGCTGACTAGGGATCAATATACGTTCGGAAGCCGAATTCGCACGGCCCACAGCTAGCGATGGTACCACAATCTTCTATACATATAATAAAAATGTAAATAGCAGACGTCTGTACATTTTATATTTTTGTAATAAAAGTGATTGAGAGATACTAAAAATAAGTAATTAATTATATAATAAATAAAAACATTTCTACCGTTTTTAGAATTGTCTGTCTGTCTGTCTGTCTGTTTGTTTGTTAACGTGTGATACGTTTTTTAAAGTACTAATTTATATCATGGGAATCGTTAAGGAAATTATAAAGTGTATCTTCGGGTTACATTTAGTCTTTATTTCATTAAAATCAGTTCATTCCATCAAAAGTTATGATAAATATTCTGAAGTATGGGTACGATTGAGTCATCAAGTGCATTTTAAACTAATATCATATTATATATTTCATACTTGTTGCTAATCTTTATATTAATCGTTGCCCTACTGCGTGTTGACAAACTCAATTATTCTTTACCGCCGAGTAATCTAATTGGGAAATAAAATTTTAAAAGATCTATTAACAATTTCGTTGGTTTCGGCTGGGATCAAACTTTCTCTTTTGCTTACTATGCACGCACTGATTTATAAGTGTTTTTATGTTTTATATAATGTATCAATTGCGTCAATTAATCTCTTTTATTTTTAGAATTGATGTTAACAGCGTCATCTCTCTTTAAATCTATGCATATTATAAACATGGTGATAACATGTTGTGTCTGTTTATATACATTGTATAGTAGGTATGTTTGTGACTAAAATCATTATAGGGACTGAAAACATTAAATAAGTACATTTTTATATCTTTAAGAATTGTCTGTCTGTCGATCTGTCTGTTTGATTATGAACGCATAACGTTTTGAGTAAACATCTTTTTTGCAAAGAAGTCGTTAAGAAAATCATAAAGCCTATATTCCAGATCATTTTTAATCTTTGTTTTATTAAAATTGGTTCATTCTATCGAAAGTTATGATTATTATTTTGAAATCTAGGTTCGAATGAGTTTAAAGGCGCCATAACACTCAGAAATAGAGAAAAAGATTCGTGTGTAAAAAAAACGTTCTATTATAATATACTTAAAACACAGTAAACAAAAAATATGTTTTCCTTAAAATTAAAAAAGGATGTTTTCTCACAAAGGACGTAATAGATCGCGTTGTATAAATTACAACTTTTACTGAATTGCGGTGGCGCCCCTTTTTCCTAAAGGGGGTCGCGTCCGATTCGGCAGGAAAGCCATAATGGCCAACGCCAGTCCCAAAGGTGGTGTTTAGTGGGTAGGCACTTCTTCAAAGTGAGTCCCACATAACCACGCTGCCGGCTGCCGTGGTATGCTATGAGCATTCACCACCTCCCTCCCCCGCTTCTAGAGGGTAGCCTCGCTTTGGGCGCAAAAGAAAAAAAAAAGAATTGCGGTGTTAAGATTTTTCGCTTTTTTTTTAATCGTATTGAGACTCACTGAAGAAATTTGTACCCATGAGTACGATGAAGTTGAAAGAGCCGTGTAGGATAACAGCACAAACAGCACCAGAAACCAGAAAAGAAACACGCCCACCCAAGCTATGCAACGAAACTCGATTAAAAAATAACAAAATTGCAACAAAATGTCGTGTTATTGTTTTTATACCCAGAATCCCTCTAATCCCAAATAACTTTCGTTTCAGTTTTAAGAGTGTTCAGTTCCCAGTCAGCGTGTGTTATGCGACGACCGTAAATAAAGCGCAAGCTCCAACTTTACGCGTTCCAGGAGTGGACCTCAATACTAATTGTTTTGCACATGGCCAACTCTATGTTGCTTTTCCCTCGTTAGTAGGTCCCATTACCTATTTGTGTACCTACGCCCCGGCTGTCTACTTCTAAAGTCGTTTACACAGAAGCTCTATCATAAACGACTTAGAACTTTGAGAATAACGATTTATTTTGTTACCACTTATTGATACAGTAATGATATAAATCGTTTAATATTCTCTTAACTAAACGTCAAATTCTTTAAGTAAAGCCTATATACGCGAACTATGCCGCGGGCACAGCTAGTACCTAATAATTTACAACACTTGTCTAAATACCTAACTTATCTACTTAACCTACTATTTTGCCACTGTGCTTGTCTCCTAGCCACTTTATTCACAGGTTAAATAAATCAAATACCTGGTTCGATTCCCCGCTAATAAAAAAAATATTTAAATAAAATGTTAACAAGGTTAGAGTCATGCTTTTTTATCAATCGTGTAGGTATGTTTATTATTCTGATGTATTCAGTTATGTACCTATTCAGATGAGTTCAGTACTAAATTATTAAAAAAAAATAGGTATGAAACAGCTTACCGATCAAAATCTTATGCGATTTTCCAAGGCACATTAACATGTTGCCGTATTCACGAGCACTATAAACGTACCTACGCATTAGGCATTATTAAAACAAAACAAGAAATACAAAACGAAACAACAAGTAATAACAACAAGAATGTAATAAACAAAACGATTGAACTGTCGCTCACGCGCACTTGATAGTTAACACGAAACTGTCTCAAAAACTAAAATTAGTAATCGAGCCCGCCAAAACATTTGAGCACGAGGCATTCGTAACGTCCTTGAAGCACTGAGCATTTCCACGGACCGTTAAACCGTTACGACATTGCCAACGTTTATTTTATTTATAAGTTTAGTTATCCCTACCACACTAGTCTTCATATGGAATCTAGAAGTTATGGTGGTCATTTTTAATGTAATTACACAACCAATTGTACCCTGACGCAACAAGCAGTTCTTTCTACAAATATTCTATTGAAATTAATAAACGTACCTAATTGGGTACTCGGTACTCACTTACACAATTATAAACACTATTTCATCGTTATATTTGATTTTGTATAAGAAAATAGAAATGAAATGGTATTGCTTAATTTAATAGTTAAAATCAATTGCAATTATAATCGACATTTAATTAATCTATCGGAATTAATGTAAAAAATAATACTTTTACTTTATTTTAATTGACTTTCCGCATTTAATCCGACTAATACTTTGAATTTAAAAAGAGGTACGTCAAAATTATTATAAGATTTAGAAATTAAAAATTAAAAATCTTGCAAATTTTAGAGTGATTGCCGCCTCTAATTCTTATGTCGCCGGCAAACTAAATTTTGGTGCAACATAGCAGCGTTGCCAACACCTTTTTGTCAAATTCCCCGAAAATTCATGTCAAATTTCCCAATTTAAGGACAAAACTTTCAACAGATTCCCCACAAATTCCACTAAATTTTATTTTAAGAAATGAATCAATTTTCAACAAATTTTATAATATTTACTTTTTAACTAACATTTTTTTTCTTTAAAATTAAAAAATTAAGAAATGAAACACATTAAATGATACACAAAAGTTGCCGAAATAAATCCGATAATTAAATGTGGTGCAATGAAGATAATTAAAAAAGGGAGTCATTCGATATTCAGAAGTAACCTAACAAAATGTTAAGATAAGTATTTAGATTTCTTGAAAAAAGGTTCTGACTTAGCCCTCGCTATCGATTTTCAGAATCCCCGTATTTTCCCCACATGTTTGGCAAAGCTGACATGTGTAAATTCCACAGCGCGAGGCGACACGAGCCGACCGGGCGGCGGTAGCGCGTAAGTTAAAGGGAAGGGTAGAATGAGTAGGCATTGTTTCGCACCGAGTTAGATAAGAGTTCGGCGTCCACGAGAATATTGACCCTGTTGTCAGCTGATTTTATTTTAAGTTTTGGTTTTATGCTTAAGTATTTTCATAACTTTTTTTATAAAATTATCGTTTTATTTAGCTGTACTAACACGATGGAGCGTGAATGAAGTTAATGAAACGTTGTGAAAAGATGATTTTTTTTTCTCGGGTTCGAATTTCTTTGTGACCCATCATCAAAGGTATCCTTAGTACTATCATCTATGTTCGTTTTCCGGAGCGTTTCACAAACACATGGTATGTTATAAGACCAAGTGCTTAAGTGGTGCTCCTTTGATGTTGACTGCTTGCCGACGGTTTAATAGCCTTCATAATTATTATTAATTAGATAAATCGCGCACGCAAACTAAATAAAACTTTATCGTTATTCATTTTCCATAAAGTGGATTGCGTGCTCGTTTGCCCTATAAAATCCCACGTGTTGTACTGTATTGTAAACTATATCGTAATGTTTCCAGATCTGCAAACGCTGGCTCCGTCAAATGGCGCAGCCCTTCACGAGAGAAGACCAGCTGGGTGTGTCTCTTCTGACGCTGCAGCAGTTACAGTCGCAAGAACAGCAAGAGAAGATAGAGAAACAGGTCATACAGAAATGAAGTGGAAAAAGTTTGTCGCAGACTTGAATTCAAGGATTAAAGTTCAGAAAGTGATTTGAAAGTGGTACCTACTGGTGGTTACTCACAAGAAATTATAATTGCAATGTGAAGATTGGAAGGTCGAATTCGTGATACATAACTTAACTCTGTACTGTGTAAATATGAAAATGTTGACCATTGAATTAAGAATATTTTCAATATTAAAGTTTCTTAAAATAATCGAAAAACAAGTCGTTTTGATTACAATCTTCTTCTTTTTCGGGATGTATAACTCTACTGCAAGACATTGAGCCCTTCCAATGTAGCGGTGATTCTCCTTAGACACGCGTGGTTGGCGGATCTCCCACATAAGGATTTTCTCTTGTATCGTGGAGGCAATTTATGTACACAAGTTGCACGAGGACAAACATCCAGACCAGGAACAATTATTTTTAGGCCATAGAACTTTTTCCGTGGCGGATTCGAACCTGCGGCTCTCGGTGCCGCAGTTTATTGCTAAGGCACTACGCCAAGGAGCAGTATCGGACGTAAACACCTTTGACGGTGCTTGCCGTCGTTTTCTAGTATCTGTCGAAAGCCATTAGATATTTTTTGGCTTTTCCTCTGTCGCCGTCGCCGCTTACGACTCCCGAAATACTACTTCGAGATGGATTCTCTTAGATGAGATCTTTCTATATTGGTGATTAGCAGTGATTAGTAGACACTGAAAATAACATTTACAAAAAGGTAAAAATTAACGAAAATTACCATTTGCAACTATATAAATACGAATGTCCGAAACATTTTGAAACTACAAGTGAAGTATTTCTTATGCTCAAAGGAATAGTCAAATATTAATTATGAACAAAGGAAGAGTCAAATCCACTACCCCATATCGTCCGTGGGTGTCGTAAGAGGCGACAGAGGGAAACAAATCAGGAGATGGACAGCAGCATCTTCCTGATAACGACTCAATATTATAAAAAACGGTGGTTGCCAAACCGCCTGCCAAGCATGATTACTATGGCGGAATCCCCTCTATGAAGCAATCTATGGGGAAGGTCTATGTTCAGCAGTGAAATTTTATAGATTATTGTACTGGAGTCTGCGTTTTCTTTTATTTATAGAAAGGTGATAAAGGTGTAAGAATTCTCCGTTTATAAAATGTATAATGCGGTAAGAATATCCACCAATTACCATATTATTTGACATCCATTTCTTCATATCGTACTGTGGGTTTCGTGGGTGGCGACTGAGGGAAACAAACCAAGATATGGCAATGACTTCCTTATAACTAAAAAATAAAACAAGTGAAATTTAAAAATAATATATTATATTATTTTTAAATTTCACTTGACTGTACACCCAGTGCGTGTTGCCAGTGATGACATACGGAACTGAGACGTGGTCCTTCACTGCTGGCCGGATGAGGAAGCTCAAGGTCGCTCAGCGAGCTATGGAGAGGGCTATGCTCGGAGTTTCTCTGCGTGATAAACTCAGAAATGAGGATATCCGCAGTAGAACTAGAGTGACCGACATAGCCCAACGGATGAGTAAGCTGAAGTGGCAATGGGCCGGCCATATAGCTCGAAGAACCGACAACCGATGGGGAAGAAAGGTTCTCGAGTGGCAGCCTCGTACCGGCAGGCGAAGTGTAGGGCGTCCCCCCACTAGATGGAGTGACGACCTGGTAAGATATGCAGGAAGTCGATGGATGCAGGTGGCTCAGGACCGTGCTTTGTGGCATTCTTTGGGGGAGGCCTATGTTCAGCAGTGGACTTGTGAAGGGCTGTAATGATGATGATGATGATGATATTATATTAAACTTTTTTCATATTCTTACATTGTCATTCGATTCTAAGCTATGTTAAAAACTTCAAGTCTCTACTTCATTGGAAAGTTAGTTTAACGCCAATTACTGAATTTCACACGAGTGAGAAGCGTGTCAAACATCAAACAACTATGTCAAAAATCCCCTATGAGGCAATCTATGAGGAGGCCTATGTTTAGCTGTGGTCTTTGATATGTTGTAATGATTATTAATGATACACGTAGTGAAAAACTTCGAAGCGTGATAAAAGAGCAAACAACCTGTTTGATAGTAAGTGGACTATGCGACCTTAAAACACCTATCTATCCTCAATTTATAACAAAAAAAGCAGATACATTGTCAACCCTGACGACTAAGATGGAATATTTCTTAACTACTAAGGGGTCTCTAGTCGTCTCACCTCACCACACGATACATCAGCATTAATGCTGCTTTTTCATGCTGGTATTCTGTACAAAAGAGGTATTTCCCCGGTCGCATTGACCCGTTGGTACTATTGTCGTAATATATTGCAGTTAATTATAAGAAATAGAAGAAAACCTAACATTATCAACCCTTGCTCTGTCCCATGAATCATATGGGTGGAGCTCACAAAATTTGTACACTCTAGAAAGAGTAACACAAAATCGTAAGCAACACACTGGAAATTATGTAACACGCTAGAAATCTGTAAAGGCAGGCCTATATTGTACTAGAACTTATTAAAAATCTTACCATATTTACCAGTACAAATAATATTATTATAAATATTGGCATTAATTCTTTGTTGTTTTTGTTCTGACTCATACCCAAATGGAAATAAACATCACTCAAATTGTAACGTCTTATTAATCCTAAGGAGGAACCTTGTTTCCATATTAATGTTAGAAATTTTAAAGTTATATGAAAATAGGGAATATGACTTATTTCGCCATGAAGGCTAAGGTTTTTTTTGGTAACATCACTAGAAACTATATTCTTGAACACTTTTTTTTCAATATTTTTTTTAGTTTTCAAGGGTTCTTCAAGAAAAATGTTTAGCAAATTTTCTTCTATAATCATGTTAGCTTCTAGTGTATGGAGTACGTTTTTCTTGCTCATTATTATAAATTGGTTTCAGTAGTAACTTTTCTATAAAATCATTTTATGTCGTATTAAATCAAATAATTATAGTTTTTTCTCTTTATAGATCTTTGTAGAGTTTTTTTTTTAGAGTATGTTAAGATTTATTCGGTGTGCTTCAATGACAACAGAAGAGAAGACACGATTATAATTACATAATATACATGTTTATTCACATTCAAGCAAAAATTTTATACCCACTTTTGGGCTCTACCGCAGTTGGTTAAAAGCAATGTGAACTAAGCTTAACGCTATGTAACACAACATAACATACCAGATCGAACACGCGAGAAGATTCTTGTTTATATGATTAAATTAGCCGCGAACTCAAAGAAAATTTAGAAAGAAATCCATAAAATACGACTTCAACAGGTATTTATTTAGTATCTATGCTTCATATAATGAAAGAACTTGAAAAATCTGTGTTTATTATCCAATATTTTCGATGAACAAAAGGGACACTGCAAATACCCTCACTTTTGTAGCTAGACTAAAATGGCTGACATTAAATTGACACTTGAAAGATGTTGTACTATGGTGTTGCCATCTTACAAAACAAGTTATACTTAATGTGATTAGCACTAAACTACGGAAGTGACTGTGTAACTGGAGTTGGGCAAAGGTTTTCATTTTTGCGATTGGAACATTTGCATCTCGATCACTGAAATGTTCCGAAACACTGTTATGTTTCATTTGGATCATCGACTCAAAAGATATAAAATACAGAATGTTCCGAATACATTAAGTTGCGTCACGGGCGTTTATTACTGACTGAGTCGGTGAAATGTTATATGGCAACAATTCTGAATAATAAAAGTGCTCAGGTTATTTATTGTGTACCGTAATATGATTGTATACAAAGACATTTAAGTTGTTAGTATAGGTACCTATATATTTGTCTTTGATTGTATATAAAATCGAACCTCCTTCATACTTTAACAAAAATGTCATTATATCAATTCATTATTTACAAAAATGTCCATTTACACAAAACAACAATGCCTATGTACACAGAATTCTCTCGTAAAGTCTCATAACTCTAACTTTATGATGAAGAGGAAAAAAGTAAGTCACAATAATCACTACGCAAAGAAATCCTAAACAGAACTCAATGTTTTCGTAAACAGGCGCTAATGAACATCAACAATTTGACAGTGTCGCATCAACGTAAAATGACAACTTGTTAATGCAAACATTACATACAAAAAACGACCGTATAGTATTTGATACGTAAGCGCCTTAGTGGTAATTTTTACGTGCATTAATAACGACAGTGAAAATCCGTACGAATTGAGTGATACACTTATTATTTGTTATCTCTATCTGACTTGTATGGATTATAATTATTTCACCCGCTCACTCGTCACTCGCGAGCTGAGTCTGTCTCTCTCGCTCGTGACTCAGTCGCCTCGCATCGACGCGTCGCGCGAAATGAGCACAGAGCAAAGTAATGTTTCACTGTTTCAGATCCAAATGATGCATTTGAAACGTTGTTACTGAACCAATCTTTTGAGTCACTTCAGTGAGTCAGAGATACACACATAGATTACTGTATATATACTAGAGATAGATGCGCGACTCAAATTAAATTTTCGTTAGTGTCGTGCTTTGCCGAACAGATGGCACTTAATTCTTACAAAAGATGGAACTTGAAAAAAAAGGGAAAAAATACACATTATTTATATATACTACTTATATAATATTTATATTATATTATTTAAACATTATTATTACAGAAAAATATAGATACTCATCTTCTGGACTCGATCTGGGGTCTTTTGGTTTCGGGACTGCCCGGTTACCCACCTCAGCTATTATAACCGTCTGTAGTGGCGAAATTTACCTTCGTATTCTAATGATATTTTAGCAGTGTGTGCCCTCTAGTGAGATTAAAATAAGTCTAGCCTAGCACTTCAGAATGTAGATGGAAGCACATAAATCGTATCATTTTGTTCGTAAAATAATGTTCTAATTTGCATGCCCATGGATACACACGTCTATGTGTAAAACATTACTCGTAACGTATGAGGGATACTTGTTTATATTTGTGGTTCCGCAAGAAATTATGACTTTGAGAGAATTCGAGACA